GAAGCCTCCACAGGGCGCCCCGACCTTGGGTCATCTTCAATTGACTCTCTTCCCCACTTAAACTGCTTGCTCCAAAATTTAACTTGGTAAAAAGAAGGCGAAGACACACCGTAAACGTTAGACATACGTTCATGAATCTCCTTAGGTGCTTTCCCTTCTTTGGTGAGGAATTTGATCACTGAACGATGTTCAACTTTCGTCAAATCCATGACACAGACTTAGAAAAAGAAATCTAATGCGCTACCACTTTGAACGGACTAGAGCCACTGAGCTGGTATAGTGGTGGGGCACTCATGAGACCTGTCGAGATATGCCACAGCAGGCACAGGCCTGTTGCTTATCCCTTTCATATTCAGGTAGATAACTTATTGAGTGGCCCTCGTATCAAAAAGGGAAATTTCAAGACTGAATAGTCACTTTATGAATCCCTTTGCATTCAAATTGAGGCACAGCCAGAGCTATGCCTAGGTTACAATTTATTCAGTGCAACTGGTACCTTTCCTTGAAGCAGATGTAGGCTTGGGACGAGGATGCTCCTGATACCACCTCTTTAAACCATGTTCCTTTGGGTCCTGAATCCCCCCTGATGATTTCATGCTTTTGTGCACAGAGCTTATGGTGGTTTTGCTCACACCTGGGCATGAAAATAACACCAGCAGTAAAATCAAGCACTGTCTTCTTTCAAAAGGGATTTGGCTCTGCAAAACAGTAGTTCATAGACAATGATAATGGCAAAAGTTGAGGCAAAAATGAAGACTCTCAACTTCCAAACCCTGCCAGTATAATGCACACGAGTGTCACCCTACCAAATGTTACAATTATCAACATTATAGGCTCTATACATAATGGCAAGGGGAGGATGGTTCAGAGCATTTGAACTTCCCAAGAGGCCCCAATTACATTAAGTATGAGACTGAAAATAGGACAAAATACATAGCAGATTCATTTGGCAGTCACTATTATTTTGCCAGTGTTGGACACATTATCTATTAAAAAAATAACTAGTTACAAAAACAAGTATTCCATCCAAAAAGTAATTACTTAGCAGAATTACTTCTTACCAAATTTTTTCCCAACAACTTAAAACTGACTCTCACTTCAATAGTACTTGAGTAAACAACATTGACAATTAGTATAACTTCAATTCTTGCTTTTTTTAGTGCATCTTAAAATGAATTGCTTCTGAAGTCTGAAATATTACATTATGCTTAGCTTGTTGGCAAAAATGTTCCTTCCTACACTGAATACCTTCTCCACCGCAACATGACTGGTAGGGGGGTAATACATTTGATGAATGGCATTTTCAGCTTTGCAAGTGACTTTCATGATACTAAAAATGTTGTAAAACACATACCACTTTCAAGAGAAATCATGTTTGTGGCTTGACACAAAGAATAGTAGCACATTACAGTCCTGTCACATCCTTTCTATGTAAAAGGAACTAGTTACTCATCCCATTACTAGCCACTTGAAAGTAACTTGCTACCACTGAAATTACTGTCCATTACAGGCCTCAGCATTTTAAAATCAGAAAAAAAAGATACTGCATTGATACTTAACTGGGAAGTTTTTAACAAAATACATTTTAACTTATGAGAGGTCAGACGTCAAAAGATGTCTAACCCAGTGAAGGGGTTAAGAGTATTGCAGAGGCTCATAAGCAAATGGCTGCAGTTCAATATGTCACACCATTGAGGATGGAATTCTCAAAAGCATCTTGCAAATGTTTTAAGTCTCTTGCTTATCACTAGTTGAAAAGGAAGATGAAAGGCAAGGATGGAAGGAGAAAGGATCCTCATTGTACCTGATTTCCTGGAAAAGGGTGAGATTGAAATGGGGGAAAGAATCAATAACACAGAACAAGGATAGAAAAGGAAAACTTATTTTTCCCCTTCCTAGATCTGTCCATACAGGCATTCAAGAATTTCACTATTTACTACTCTTCTGATCATATATAAAGTGAAACAATCATATGGACAAATGAAACTTCAGGTCTTAAGGAAACTTGGAACCAACTTAAAGCTCAGTCTGGAATCCACTTGTTACTAAAACTGACAAATGCACACATAGCCAATCAACAGTCTATCATGGCTCTTGGGGGGGTCAGTTTGGTGCTTCCTGCAAAATTACTCAAGATAAAGCTAGAAGATAAAAGTACTTACCAAGAACAAGTTGAATGAAGAAGTTGCAATTCACTTTCCCACCAGCTGAAGGAGTGAGCATTTCCGCTATAGCTTTTCTTGTACACAACTGCCCAGAGGTTGCAAGTTTCCTCCATTGCTCCAGGAGGTTGGCATACATTTCTGCCAGCTTTGTACAGTGGTCACTGCAGCATCGAATTGATGGCAATTCTGAAATATCTGGAAGCTTTCCCAGAGCAGCTGCCCCTCGCTTTCGTTCTATTCTTCTATTTCTATAGAAAATGGGAGAACAGAGATTCTGTAAGTTCCAAGTAATAAGTTCCTTTGTAAATGAATTTGCAATAAGACCAACTTAGATTGCTTGTGCAAAAAGTTGTTGGAGTAAAGAAGGATCCTTTGGCAAGCATGTTCACATAACTTTTCTCTACTCCTCAAGGCCTCCCTCTTCTGAAGAACAAACTCTTCATAAGCTTTACTTCGCCTGGAGCCAGGACTGAACACCTTCCCACCATTGTTTGAAGGTTTCCTCAGGTCTTGAGCCTTGTTCATGAGCTGCAACAATGCCCGTGCACGATCCTTTGCCTCTGTGCCACTCTTACCTGGAATGATTAACATAATGATAACCAATATTTGTTTATTCCCTGTCCACCTGTCTGCCAAAGTCCTGCAAGTGTTGATTATTTAGGAACTCAATCCAATTGGCCCAATCAAAGTCATGGCCTGCACCAGACACAAAACTCAATTGCTGACTGAGTTTTGCAGGCCTGATTCAGAGATTGTGCTAATCTTAAGTCCATTTAGGTCTCTAAGCTTTAGAACTCACAGTCTCTGATGAAGGATTTGCCTGTACCTGACTGGAAACTTGACTGTCAACCAAACTACATGCTTGTTTCAATTGAGCCAATCCACATCCTCAAAATCATCTCTGATTATTCACCCAAAATCAACCAGGCATTTGCAAATAAGCAATTGGGGGTTCCTTGATGATTGGACACATCCCTTATTAACATGGCTGTTTGAAATATTGTGCCTCTTTGGAATCAAATGAAATAAAATTCATTGAAAATTATTGTAAAGGAAAATTGGAGGCCTCTGATGATGGAAGGCATCCCACATACTCCATCTGATATCTTGGAGTTCTTAATTCATATGGTGTGTCTCATTTGAAAACTATGGGATGGAACTCGGAAATCAGTATATTGGAAAATTGGAAGGGAGAATGAATACAGCCAATATTACTGATCTGAAATATGGCTGTTCAAAACTCAGGAAGTCACCTGAGTTGAAACACTAGTAGTGCCAGTACCCTTACTATATAAACTTACTTATAGGTGTACGTCACTAAATGAATTCCAGAAACTGGTGAAATGTTCATATTGATGCGAATATTCCTTTACTTTGTCTTTCCCTCAAAAAGATGCAATACCTTTAGTTGATTTGCACATAGCTGTGTATACATTTCGAAGTTAAGACTTGCATGTAATGGTCTAAATTTCCCTTATCAGTGTACACCCCTACAGGCAGGGTTTTATGGCATAGGTGTGTGTGAACTCTAAAATCACTGCACATCATTTCAGTCCTTCATAAAGTATGTAGCTACAAGTATATGAATATACTGTTCTTTATTGTAAGATAAGTGAGAGGAGTGAATTTTTCAGTGGTATGGTGACTGTGAAGAGATGAAAAGATATCTCTTCCCAGTCATAACATTCCTCCTTTCCCCCACTTAAAATTATTAGATATTAATTCAGTATTATTTTCTGTAATTTGATGAACCAACTGCAGCATCAACAGAAAAACCTTGAACTGTTAATCTATAATAATACTTGGACAGCATGACAGAATACATACCATCACCAACTATATGGCATTGTATACAGCTGCAGCCTTTGGATGTGAATCTTGGGCAAAAGAGTATCACAGCATTGGGGTCATCCAAGCTCCTAGCAAGAGTTTCTGCAAATCTTTTCCCTTCATTCATGTACTTTTCCTTTGCCCCAGGAGTGGGTGACACCTATAAGAAAACCAGAATTTATAAGCAAGTCACATGTGAAAGTGCCAATCCATGAAATTCAATAGATACTGCATCAAAAATCATTCTTGAAATCTGGTGACAACATTTAGCCTAACAAAATGCACTCTATTTCCAGGCTACTGTGCACTTAGGATGTTCTTGGTACCTTTGACTTTGGAGGTTGAACACCCTTTGCTCTTCGGTCCATAGCAAGAGCACATGCATTGCAGAGGGTGAGTAGTTTTTGGGTCTCTGGATCAAGTCGCTTTCGACCATAGGCAGGTCTATGGTTTGGTCCTCTGGGTCTCCTTTCTTTCAGGGTTGGGTTCACAACATGTGGGGTTCCACATTTATCACAGCAAAATGGTGTCTCCTCAGGCTCTGCATATGGAAGCAACACACGCCATGAAGTTACTTACCATTCATGAAGAATATAAAGGATGAGGTATAGACAAAGGCTTCTAAAGTTATATCCCCTTGCATTCACAGGGAAAGCTTCTCATCCTTATGTGAGCTTATTGTTACTAAGAACTCTCATCCCTTCAAATGCACTAAAGAATTAAAACATAACATTTAAAGTTCTGCTTATCAAAAGCTTATGGGCTCTCCCAACTAAAGGAAACATACAGCACCAATCTAATATTTACAATATTAACTATGCCAAAAATAGGACATTACAACTTGGCCTGCATCATTTTTATAGAAATAAAATAATATAGGCTTCTGGCACATCAATATACAGTAGCTCTACATAATGGAATACTATTGCATTGTCCCAATTTATGGTACAAACAGCAGATAGTTTCGGTTATTGGAACACGGTGGTTTATAGAATAAAGTGGTTGCACAAATATTTCAATATGTGGGGCTGACTTTATCACTAGTTCAAAAATGTATCCCAGATTTAGCACTGAAATTCATATCAATGATGATAGAACTCAAGGTAGGGTGATATCTTTGCCCAATAGAGCAACAAAGATATTCAACTATGTCTCTGTAGAATTTAAAATTGAATGCATTAAGAAAATCAGATGTAAACAAAGGCATAAGCTATACAAATGAATATTGATTTCTTTTTTTAGTTTAGGATGCCTTTTTTTCTTTCCTGTTACTTTTCCCCAGAAAAGCTAATTTCTATGTATCTATTTCTTTTGTCTTGCAACTTTGGTAAGACTCAGTGAGAGTTCACACCTTCAGGTAAGCTACTTATATGCTCAATCAAGATGAAATCATTCTATTGCAAGCAATGGACTTGGGCTGATATTGGGGCTTCATCGTTTTGGTGAGCATCTACTTTACACCAAATTGGTTACATTGATACAAGCTGACTCACAGACTAGAAGCATTTACAAACATGGACACCTCAGAATTTTCCACTATTTTTCTCCCCAGAAGTGAAATGAAGTGAAACATGGCATGGAATAACAATGGTAGGAGTGTCACAGTTACTACTTTTGGCATACATTTCTAGAAAATATTCCAAGATTCTACTCAGTATATTTAGGGGCAGCTTATTTGATCCTCAGGCACAACATGTGCCTGAGAAGTATCCATAGAGGGGGGTGGATAACAAGAGGGCAAGATTGGGTGACATCCTTCACAAGTTAAGGGAGTGTGATGTGGCCAAATTGCAAATTGAGGATTTTGTTTGTTTTAATCATTTGGATGAGAATGGATGACCTTCTATTGATTTATGGCCCATAGGAGAGCATTCACATAGAAGAGGTCAGGCTTGCTGCAGAGGTTCAATATGGTACAGCTCATGCAGATATAGAGGGCTGCTGGCAGGATACAAGCAGAAAAATAAATTCTTGTCCACTGGCTATGGTAGCTGCAGTGTTCACCAGCCCAGTTAAAGTACCTTATGTAGAGTACAGGCAAGTGTCAGGTAATGGTTAAGCGCATACCCCCTAATAAAATTGCACTCCCTCAGTCTCGAATGTTTCTGGATGAATTTAACTGGAAACATGCTCCATTGACTGAGCCTTCTTATATATATAATACACACCACCCCCCCTAACCTAACCCAACCCTGCCTAACTTAAGGAGCAATGCAATATCCCAAGGGGGTACGCACTTAACCATGTGTACCAGATCAATGAAGCCCTGACATTGTAACCATGAATTGAATATGCATTCATGCAAAGGCAAACCCATGTCGTATCAATTCAAATGGAAAATATCTGTTTATAAATTCCTTCTAAATTCGTGGCAAAGATAGGCCTAGGCCGATTCATAGGGCTTACTTTTCCTTTTCCTGGGTTTCAACTTCATTTTCTCCATTAAAGAGGTCCCATACGGAGCAGATATCGACTGAAGCTGCACAAGTTTCCGCCGTCTTTTTATAGGCGAAGATTTTCCAAGTTCGTCAGGAGTGGATGTTGCTTCCGGATCATTTGCCTCTTGTGATGGGAATCCAAGCATTCCATGCCGAGCTTCCCTTGACACAGCTATCTCCCAACATTGGCTTTCCGTGTCCTCTAACATGACGCCACATTGATGTTAGAAGTCCTAGTCTCTGATATGATACCAGATCCGTCTTTGACTTTTAACTCAGCTTGATTTCTTCATGTTGGGCAGTTCGCTTCGTGCTTCGAAATCTTTCGGATTACCCAAGGACCGTTATGAGATTCACGTGGCCCAGGGCAACGCCATAGACGCTTGGCACAAGTGCCATCTATATGCGACTGCACGGATCATCCAAAGTAAATCGGTCCCACTGACGTTTATGAACAAGGGAAGTAGAAAAGTTATAATAATACAATATTTATTCCATCGCTCTTGCAAGTCCATTTGGCCCGTTGAGTTCGTCATGATATCTATAAATACATATGTACATACTCTCATATAGAGACAGAAGGTGATGAAAAAAAAAAAAGGATAAACAAAATAAAATAAGTCAGAAAATACACAGAACTGAACAGAACACCGAACTGAAAAGGAAACTCCGAAGCTGTACGCATGAACATAAGTAGCAAATAAAAAAAGAGTGAGGGATAAGAAATTGACAAAACGAGGAGTGTGAGAGAAGACAAAAATCAAAAATGAATAAAATGGGGGTAGGGTGGGACTACACGCTTACATAAAATTCTAGAAAAGTTCTTTAAATTTTATATCCGGAACATGCTTGATTCACTGCTCAGAACTGCAACTAGTTTTATGCATTTTTTGCATCCCCCTATTATCACGATATAAAATGCGACACATTGCATCCTTTCCACTTCCACTCAGTCCCCCTAGGCACGGGTAGACAAGTATTCTCAAATGGTGGGAGTAATGCTGTTAACATGTGCTTGTAACAGCCATATTTGCTGAAGTAGTTTTCTCGCAGTGGTTGCCTTCTCTAAGCACACTCCGAAAATCCTGCGAAATCTTGTGACTTTACTAAGCTTTTGCACATTCCGTTCTTCTCTTCCACACTAGGCGGGGCCGCCCAGAGGTTTCCAGGGGCCCGGGGCAAAACTAAACCGGAGGACCCTTGGGCGTCCCCTTGAGACCCTTTGAAGGCCCCCTTGGAGCACGAGGCCCGGGCCAGATTGTCCTCGATGCCTCCCCTCTGGGCGGCCCTGACACTAGGTATTGTTTTAAGTCGTGGCATTCATCTTTGATTCCGTTGTAAACGACAGTGATACATAGATGTGCCGAGATTTCCGACAGGGTGGTGCCGACTATGCCAGGAAGTGTGCCGATATTGCCAACACCTGACCCACCTTCGCTTTTGGCCCAGGCCCTCGGAGAGGAAAGGCCCCGGGGGCACTTGAGGTGTACGGTAAAAGGAGGTTTAAAATAGAGGTTTGACCTTTGACCCATTGTGAACGAGGAAGCTCCAGGACAGAAACCACTAGCCAAATGGAAATGATAAAATTGCTTAAGAGTGCCGACATTCGCAGCACTCACCCTACAGGGGCTTTCTTCTTCTTTCGTATTGTAATACTTAAAATATACGGGGTGGCCAGTAAGTTTACCGCTAAACTAATTTTTTATTGACCTAGTTTTTATTTTTACTTTTGTTACATTATATTAATTTTTTTTTGCTTTTTAGATCTTTGACTTTAGGTGATACACAGACTTACCGAAAGGATTTTAACCGCAGGTTCATTAATCGGATGAGCTTACTTATGGGACACTGTATATCTTGGGACACATGGCAATTGTAAAGACGTCAGACACCTGTGGTGAAACTTGAGGCGCTAGAAAAGTTGAAAAACGCGCTCAGGATGCCTGACGAGAACTATCTTCTTTCCCGTGTGGTCAGATAGGTTGGTCTTTTCGTAATTTACGATGTTTTCACGCTGAACGTTTTCAAGGGTCGTGGCAAGGTCCTCGAAGCAGTGAACGAATGTTTCCCTCATCTCGCGAGAACGAGGAGCCGGTGAGCCACGAGTTTCTCTTCCTCAGGGGACAGAGCAACGCCGTGTTCTAAAAAAATTTGCGCAAAGGCAATGTATAACAGGGAGATAAAACTTTTTCCCTCATTCTATATTATCTTGAAGATAATGAAAAACGAGGAGCATTTTCGTTTGTACAGCAAGCGTTTTGGTAGGTTAAGAAGAGTTGCCCTGGTTCAATATTTTTTGTTATTCGATGTGAAATAACAATCGTATTCCAAAAATGATTTAAATCTGAGAGGAAACAGTTTACATGGTACCATAAAAATCATTGAGACCGACAGACGCATGAAAATAGTCAGGAAGCAGCCGTTGCGCGTGACACAAGTTTTGTCCCAAGTGACCCAATTCTCCGAAGTTCTAATGAGGGCGTTCCGACGTGTCCGTGTTTTTACGCCTAGTTATCGTGGCTCATCGAAAATTGTGACAGTGCCAGTGAGATCGGTAGTGAATATAAGATGAAACAACGGTAACAAATATTAATATATTGTAGAATGAACCTCAAACAGTAACCGACTTGCGCACACATCTATTCTGACAGCACTCATTTAGTCGGGAAAGGAAAAAAGGTATTGGCGAGGTGAGTACAGTCCGGAAAAGGTTCACCCGGGTGGGAAAGAGAAGATGCATGTACACTTGTACAGCCCGTTCAGGTCCAGAATGGACCACTATTAATCCACAAAGGAGCCCAAGTAGCTCGTTTGTCATATTCAAGCCCTCAACCCCTTCCTCCCCTCTCCTCCAAATGTCATTCATGCCCACAGCCTAAGGGTGGGTTCAGAGGCGTCCTGCTCCAAGCAGGGAGGGGGGCCGGCCACCCCGACCCGAGATACAGATCACTCAGCATGCGAATTCTCGTAGACTGTCTTACGCTTAGCTTCCAAGTCCGCCTTTGTTGCTCTTTATATGATTCTGTTCGGTCTCCTGCTGGGCTTTGACAAGTTATAAGTAATGTCATCCCATTATGGATCCATGCCGACTGGTCCTTTCTGGGACTGGACGAGCTGTACAGAACTAATAGTGTGGCTAAGTAAGAGAGATCGCATCAGCCTCCTGGATCTTACCTTGTCCTGGATGCTTGGAGTTACCCTGCTGAAAAAACCTCATGAGGTTTTCGGACAGAGGTCTCATGAGATTGACCTTATGAGGTTTGGAACAGGTGTCTCGTGAATTGACTTCATGGGGGTTTCGAATAGAGGCGCCACTTGCCTCGTTAGCCACGAAAGGTTTCATGAGACTCAGCTTGTAAGGTGCTGCGAGTCCTTGGAGAAGTAATAATTTACACAGAAGAATGTACGGTTATACAACCGTCATTTATTCCATCCTCAATACGTCATTCCATCCTGTGGGCCAGAATTGTCTGGAGTCTCACTGAACAAGGCAATCTCTTCGGACATGTGTTATAAGAAAATCGAATATATTTGATTATGTTCTATGTAGAAATAAAAATATACATCCAACTTTGAGAGTACAGGAGAGATGCTTCAGTGAGATCAGGGGGATACTCGTCAGAGTGGCTATATATTGATAGTCGCCATCTCTTATCGCTTGTGCAGTGCAGAAAAAACCTCATGAGGTTTTCGAACAGAGGCCTCATGAGGATTACATTAGATATTCGGACAACCTCATGAGAAAGTCGTGAGATCTCACGGCCTTCTCATGAGACCTCACGACTTTCTCATGAGGTTTTAGTGAGGTTTTTTCAGCAGGGTATTATTTCCGGAGGTTTTAAGGCCATTCAATCATCCCGCGTCCACCAACCCAACCAGTAGTATTAATGCAAATTTTCATTTCATATTTTCGAGATTATTTTGTTTCATCAGGAGAGCTTCCCATAGATGATTACTTCGTATGTTTACCGGGTGAAGGAAAAAAAAAAGCGTCGCTTTTTGAAATTCTGTTGCGCCTCAAACAGCTGGTAACCCAATAAAGTTTCTTACGTACGTCTATGCATCCTCTGACAATCCCACAACTTTTGCGCATGCACCTGGACGCTAACCCGAGGACCAGCGCAACTGAGCAGGGATGACAATATTTCACAAGTATTATTTTCCTCTGCACTTCAGGATCTGCTGAACAAATCACTGACTTGTCCTTACTTCTGGCAATTAGCAGAGTGGATTTTTGCATCCCAAGATTATCATCTTGAGAAATGACTCCTTCCACATAAAAGCGGTTTTCTTCAGTTTAAGCTAGTTTCAGTGTTCCGCTCAGATGAACTAGTTTTTCGGTTTGTGAATCAGTCTTCCAACGACAGACCTACATTTCTTTCATCCCTCATCAGGGGATTCTTGCTAAATTCTTCCATCCTTACGCAGTAGCTTTTTTTTTTTCACTGGCAGACGGAGTAGCTCTGGCCCTGGAATGGTACGCTCAACGCGTACTAACCACGCTCCCGCCGATACGATTCCTCGCCCAAAAATAAAAATCCAGTTGCCCTTGCGTCATCGCTCATGTGAAAATACGGCAGGAGAACAATGAAATATTTTTTTTTTTAAGGACGTTTAAAGAATACAAGAAGTCGTTGCAAAAAATTATTTGCCGCGGTATCCGGTATCTCACGAACGCCAAAGAATCTCAAAGAGCAGTGCATTTTTTTTTTACCTCAAAGCGCAGGGATATCATGAAGTGAAGGAAGAAAGGTATTTATGGCGTATGTGTGAGATACATAGGAGTGAGTTTGGGCATACTAGGTAGGGCATGTTTTTCCTCCTGGGGTTAAATTATATCTTCTCCCTCCTTCACCATTATCTCATTGTCGATAGTAATTCGCTTCAGATGCTTTTCTATTCACAGTAAATAAATATACAATAAAATCTCATCTTGAAATTGGATAAAATGAAATTCTCTTATTTTATATTCCCAGCTGCATGCCCATAATGTAAAATTCTGCATATATTAAACTCTCTCTCATGAGGAACAATTTGTATGCGCCCTTGCTTCTTAAGAGAGTCTTTATTGTATTTGATAATCAGAGATGGAATAAAGGGCCTCAAATGTCAAGATTGCTTCTGAACCTGCAAATACCCATTGGAAACTAGTCCTTGCCCCAGGCAGGCATGCTCAGACACGCAGAGACAACTACTCATTTGCAGAAACAGGTATCCCAGTAAAACTGACTTCAGGTTCCTGTATAATATGCTTCATCATTTCTGCTTGCAATCGAACAGCTTATCTGTGAAGATATTACGAACCAACGATGGAATAGTAAAATTACATTTCCTTCATTTGAAGGCAAGATCAGGTACTTCCCAATCACATGGATGATTCACAACTAATGAATCTCACTGGTGTCAAACTCTGCTTAAAGCTCTATTCAATCATGAGGATCACAAAACAAGGGGATTCATTCCAAAAGGGTGATGAACCATTATTCCACTCCAAATCATGGATTTGAAGGCAATATCACTCAGTCAAGCAAGCAAGTGGACGTCAGTGAACACCACTGCCATATAGACTGTCCCACTTGAGGTACATGTCCAAGTCATTTGTTGACACACTTGGGCGGACATGACGTAGGGCTTCCATGAAATCTTCATATGTAATGGGTCTGACCTGAAACATGAGAAAAGATGATCAATTACAGATCCACATTAAATTCCTCTAGGACAGGTGGACATGTCTCACCTCATCAGCAGAAATGGTCTGAAGTTCCTCAATAGTGATTGATCGAATGGGACCAAGAGCAGCTTCCCGGCAAAGTGATGTCATATCTGCACCAGAAAATCCTTCTGTCTCCTCACAAATGGCTTCTACTTGATCATCTGTCAAGTTCTGCTCTTGATCACTCAGGAGGTTGTGAAGGATGTGACCTCGTGCCTTATTGATGGAAGAGAAAGGTCAGTGTCACATTTTTCAGATTGTCATAAGTTGTCAAATGAAATCAAAGGATACTCCACTCTGTTAAGAAGTCTAGCTAAAATGAATGATGACAATAGGAAACTGAGTCTCATGTTGCACTCATGATGGACAGATCACTAAAGGCATATTTGCACATCAGTCCATAAAAAAATTAGCATTTACAGCTTAATATTTACAAAAATTGCTCTATAACAGAGGCTGTGAAACACTTCTTAATATTAACACTTTTGTGCCAGTGCATTTTGAATTTGGAAAAAAAAGTAATACAACTTCATCTTAGTCACGACAACAAAAATGTGTAATAAAGTCCTAAACTTGTCACATTACATTTATACAATAAACCTTGCAAAATAATGGAAGTTTAGCATAATTTTAGGCAAGACTTGCTATGAATCACATTCAGTTTGTTCTCCAAGTATAATCCATGCAAATGGCCCACTTTAGGGGTCACATAAGATAGAGTTCAAATGACCAAAAAATTGGGTCAGTTAGCAGAAATATGGTGTGGCACCAGTAAGGTTAATTGAAAATGTTAGCATGATACTCATGGGTGGTGAGATTCAACACTATGGTAATAAAGTCTCATATTGATCATCAAACAATTTCTAAATTGGTCAAGGTCAAGGTCAATTATTCCTGATCCAAGATAATTGATATAGAGCATGAGAACTGTAATGTGCTCCAATGATGACATTGATAAAGTTTAAAAATGAATATAGTGATCCTAGGAAGAAAGTTAAATTAAACATCCCAGATGCAATGAAGAAAGGAAGCACCAAACATTTAAATGGTGCCATAGGGAACTTGAAACAGGATGAACAAAAAACCTAAAGAGGAGTAATCTGAGAGTTTGTAAGAAGAAAGTGTTTGTTTACAACACAGCCAGACAAAAAAAACAGCTACCAGAAGTGTTCCCCTCAGCTGGTGACATTGCAGAGACATGGGAACAGAGATATCACCACTCAATCAAAATCTTCTTGGATCTCAATGATGCCAGCTTAAGAAGCTGATATGACTGACTGAAGAGGTCAAAGTTCCTCTATAATTGTTGCTCTTCTTAGCATCTCTTATCAGATTAGAATATCCCTTTAAGGAATGCCATATCCATCACAAAACTGACTGAGGTATCTGGCAGAGGAATGTATAGTCGCTTGACAAAACGGCGCCTGGCAGCCTCATCCAACTCTTGTGGTCGATTAGTTGCACCCACAATAAGGATTCGATCTTCTGACTTTGTTCCAGCACCATCCTACAACCAACATCAGGGAGAGAAGGAAGAGATGTTTTGGGAAAAGTATCAGGAGCTCTTCAAAAAACAGGATCCCAAAGAAACAAACCAATTGCACAAGGAATTCTGTTTTAATCCTCCTTGAGCTCTCATGCTCAGAATCACTACGGGAAGTGAGCAGAGAATCCACTTCATCAATGAAGACAACTGCTGGTTGATGACATCTAAAATAAAATATTTATAGAGCTTTGAAAGCTAAATGATAAAGACAGCATGGGATTAATTTAATACTTTTAACCATAACCACAGAAGTCATGATATTCAAACAGGCCTATGCCACAAAGATCACATACCTTGCAACAGCAAAAAGAGCTCTGACCATCTTCTCTCCTTCACCAACCCACTTAGATGTCAAGGAGGATGCACTGATGCTGAAAAATGTTGCTCCTGACTGTGAGGCAAGGCATTTCCCTATAATATAGATTATGGAAACTGTCTCCTTCTTCCCTCTCTCTAAACAAGAGTCTCAGGACAACTGAGAATACAAGCAAATCTAACATATCTTACCTATCAAGGTTTTCCCTGTTCCAGGAGGTCCAAAAAGGAGGAGGCCCTTTGGAGGGCCTCTCAAGCCCCTGAAGATGTCTGGCCTCAATAGTGGTAGAACTACCATTTCCTAAAAATTTTAGGTAAATAAAATAAAAGCTTTTGATGAAATTTTAGCCTGAGTATGGCAGAAAAAATTAATTCAAATGCATCTTAACTTGAAAATGGCATGTGGGAGAAATATATAATACCTTTATTAAATATAATAAATAAAAGCCCTGCTTTTCAGAGGCCCATGCTTAGAACTTCCTTCCTAACATCAAATAAGAAAATAGTTTCATTCTTTTCCAGCAAATCAGTCCCTCTCACTAAAAAACACTGTGATTTGGCTAAAATTAGCATCAATGGAGAACCAGAACAGGGGTGCAATCCAGGGTCTGCAAGCTATATGATCTTAGCATTCCTTGGGTTCTCCAGCAGGTTTTTTGGACAGAGTTTAGAATAAAATCTGCAGTTGCAATACAAACCTGCAGCAGAGTCTGAGGACAGCCCCCCAGTCTACTATGGGCAGTAAACAGCCTGTGGGTCACAAGTTGGTCAACTATGGCTAATCATTTTTTGTGCCCAAAAGTGGGCTGTGCAAAGTTACAACCTCTCCCTATGCACTCAACTGGTGGGTCCCTGTCAAAGCAAAATACTAGGCATTTAAGGACTATATCTAGAGTCATAGAGGCTGCTATCATTTAGAGTTCAGTCATTTTTTGAGGTAGGTGTACCAATAGCAGCAATCATGAAAGAGCAAATTATGGAAATAACAACAGCAAGGATTCATGGAAGAAAGGGATCTAGATTACTGATTATTTTGAAAAAATTTACAAAGTACTTTGCTGCTACAGCACAGCATTTTGCAGCTGGTAATAAAGTCAATGAGAAACATTGTAGTTTGTGTCAGTTTTGGCCCAATGTCCATCAGTCTGTCCACAAAAATGGTACACTCAGCAGAAGATAAAGCAAGGAATAGCGTTTGCCACCCTGAGAAAGAATGGAGAGGGACAAGAATTTCTTGCAAAGGATGGAAAATATATACTGGATTTATTCAAAGGTTCAAGAAACTGATTCATGTGAGAGGAAGAGGGGGAGTAATAGAGAAAAATTTGCTCAAACCAAGAAAAGTTGTGACTATGTGGAAAAAGTCACTTTTCCTCAAGATGGTAATCTGGGAACATAAATTCTCAGATACAGAATGCCAGTTATCTTTCCAGCAGATTCTGAAGTGCAGAGGGAAAAAAGATCTTCACAAGAATTGAGGAGTTCTCTGGAAAAAGGGCATATGGGCACATATTCCTCACACTCCTAAATTACTCAGTCAGTGCCACACAAGCCAAATCTGCATTTTGAGAGAAAGAATGAAATAAGTTGATTTTATGAAACTTCCAGAAGGGTAAAGCAGTTGGAGATAATAAAAAAATATTTTGAGGATGCTTAGAAGGTAAGAGTAATTGCAAAAATACAATCAGTTGCTGTCTTATATAAAATCAAAGAATTTCAAAGTGTAGTGCATTTTTTATGCCTCAACCATGTATGGGGTGGGACAGAACCTTTTTCTTCCCCCCCATGCTGCAACATGAAAGAGACCTGGAACAACCAATTTAACATTGTACTCTTGAAAGAAAATGAAACTCATGACCAACTATGTGACCACCACCTGCAGACGAACAGCCTACAGGCAATGAAAGTAGGATTCAAGCAGTTCTTGAAAGAAATCTGTTCAGTTATCTGTGCCTTGGGGCACTTGGGTAAGGTTTCTCTTCTCTGGATGTCAGGGGTGCTTGAGCCTCATGAAATGTGATACATTTAATTATATCAATCACTCTCTGCTTTTCACAATTGTAAGCACCAACCATTTTGACCATTTACCTGAAAATTATCAGAAACAGTTCCAATTGAATTGGGCTTTCAGATTTTACCCAACATAAGTTAATAACTAAAATGCTCGGCATTGGAGGAGGGGAGAAAAAGGTTCTGTCCCACCCTGTATAACCAGAAATGATCTTCATCAAGTATGTGGTCATTTTGAGTGAAGGGTCTTGGGTCATTTTGCTTCTACTTCACACATAGACACATTCAGCTAGGTTGCATTAGAAATAAGCCTAATCATCCCATTCTATTGATTTATAAGAATTTCTGGCAAACATAATTGGAAATGAAGGTGAACTACTAACCTGAATAGTTTTCTTGGCATATGAAAGTCCAGCAATATCATCCCAGGTCACTGGTGATCCTTGATCCATAATTTCACTTTCAATAAGTTCTACCATCTTTGGATCAATGTGTTTCAGACGAGGGTCCATGTTCTCATTATTATGCTCAGATTGAGATCCTCCTCCATGCAGTTTTTGCATCCCTCCACTACAAGAGCAGGCCCTCTGATCAATTGCTAGAAAATATGGTACCAATGCAAGTCAAGGGAAAATGTTGAATGAAATTAAACAAACCTCGTATCATCTCTTCCACGGACAGGAGGAACAAATTTTGTATTCACCCCTCTTCTTGTCAGTCCTAGAGATCGATTATTACTGGAAGAATATGATAACTTAGCACCAGCAGCATTCTTTTCCATAATAAGTTGATCCCTTGCTGTTCGAAAACCACATGGTCCAGGGTTATCATCCTTTGCTTCTCCATCTACAGGATATCACAATGAGAAGCTGTTCATCATTCAATCAAGAAGATCTCATGCCATGATGAAAGAGTACCTACCATCACCAGTGATTCTCATGTTAGAGTCATGTACAACACCATTTGCTTTAAACTTCTTTGTGACTGGAGCACTGGGGAATGACTCATGTTGTCCAGAAAAGGGTCTTATAGATGCAGAAGTAGATTCTCTTGAATCACAAGGACCATAAAAGGGAGTTGGGGCAATATTGCGGAATTTGACTTCAGATGCTTCAATGTGGGCAGCCTTTGTCACTGTCACAGTGCTGGTGGATAGAGATTTGGGAACTACTTTACCAGAAGATGCAACACCACTCTCTGGATACAAAGTTTGAAATGAAGAGGTTATCAAGTTGCTCTTTTGACCAGATGACCTCAAATCCTTAGGCACCCCAGGAGTTACTTCATGAGGCCCTCTTGTCCAGCTTGATTGGTCAGATCTTTTTGCTTGATGGACATTGGAAGGGCCTGGTCTTGGCTGAATAATTTCTGTCACTTTAGTTTCACATTGTGCAAGATTAGATGCTCTAGAGGCATTCTCAACACTACGTGGAGGTTCTTGTGAACCTTGGAGACCTCTGCTTGTCTCACTTGTGGAATTTGGATGCTTGCTTGCTCCTTCCTCAAAACTTGTTTTGTCCAAACCAAGGGATTCAGCAACATCTGAAAGTAGGGACTCCAAAATGTCCCCTCCAACATGGCTGGACAGGAATTTGCAGAATTCTGGAATGAGTAGTAAAGGGTCATCCATAACCTCACATATGCCTTCAGATTTATTGAGATTAATCACAAAGTGGCAGGGATGTCAAAAGTACCAAGTAGCAATGCTACAAAGAAATCAAAGTCTCTCAAAATCCCTAGTGGAGGGTAGTGTATGGTAGAGGGTGTCTAGATGATTTGAACATTTTTTGAAAATAGTGCTACAGAGGATCCAAGTAAGATTGTCAAATATCAGCATACTGAATTATTTGCTAAGTGATTGCACTTATTATTAGGTCCATACATAGGGTATCGTTGTTTCTGATGCTAATGAAAAAAATACATTCCACATGAATATGGCAAATAATCATGTATGATCATATAAGCATAACCAATCCAGCATAAATGACATAAAACCAGATAAGACACTCTTGATCACAAAATTATGGAACATGCATGGATTTTGATATAAACTACAACTAATCATAACTGAGTGAAATATATCAACCACACAATGTTCATATACATACATTAGAAGGATCATACCACACCTTATCCATAGTCATATGAGGCTGGTCTCAGAAGTAATGAGAATGATGAAAAAAAATTTTTTTTCTTGAAATTACAAAGCATTAAAAGCGATCACCCTCAAAGTAGGCTCCTTGGGAATTCACACACTGGTTCCAACAGTTCTGACATTGCTGGTAACATTCCTGGAAGTCTTCTTCTGTTAGGGTGTTCAGGGCACGCGTCGTGGCTTCTTTGATGTTCTCTACTGACTCGTGATGATGACCTTTCAACTTGGATTTAATTTTGGGGAAAAGGAAAAAGTCACACAGGGCCAAATCTGGGCTATAGGGTGGATGTGGGAGCACTGGGATTTTTTTCTCGGTGAAAAATTCTCTAATGGAAAGCGCATTGTGAGAGGGGGCGTTGTCTTGATGCAAGATCCAATTGGCAGCGATGTCAGGTCTGACGCGCACAACCCTTTTCCTCAGCCGGTCAAGGACCTCCCGATAAAATGTTTGGTTAACTGTCTGACCAGGTGGTACGAATTCCTTGTGGACGATTCCATGATGATCAAAAAAGACAATGATCATGGTCTTGATTTTTTATTTGCTCATGCAAGCTTTCTTCGGTCGAGGTGAAGATTTTGTGTGCCACTCTTCGCTTTGCCTTTTTGTTTCGGGATCGTACTCAAACACCCACGATTCGTCTCCTGTTACTACTCTGTCCATGAAGTTTGGTTCGTGGTTCAACCGATCCAACATTTCCTGGCTAATGAACAGGCAATTTTCCTTCTGTTCAGTGGACAAGTTCTTGGAAACAATCTTCGCACAAATTTTCCTCATTTCCAAGATCTCAGTCAAAATCTGATGAACAGTATCCTTACTCATCCCAACCTCGTCTGCAATCATTCTGACTGTTAACCATCTGTCCATTGCCAACGCAGAACGCCCCTTCGACACATTTTTGTCAGTTGTCAATGGGGACGGCCTTCCTGATCGATGGTCATCTTCGACGTTTTCTCGGCCTTCCTTGAAAGCCTTGTGCCACCTAAACACCTGGGCTGAGGATAGAGTAGCATCTCCATAGGCTCTTCTTAACATTTCAAGTGTTTCTAAAGGGGTTTTGTTGAGTTTGGCGCAAAATTTGATTGCATACTGTTGCTCGATGGTTCGCTCCATTTCTGGCGTGACGAGGGGTTTGAAAACGGCCTTGAAAACACAGCTGCACTGCCACTTTCACTCAACCGAGCAGAATGAGGAAGGTCTCATTGTTTAGCTATCCCCTCCACCTACATGCTGGTAGCTGTCATAACGGTGCAGTGCTGTCAACTTGAACATAGGAATTTCATTCTCATTACTTCTGAGACAAGCCTCGTATAAGATACCAATGCATGAAAAATATTGTTTCATTAATTGACCCATATCACTTGGTGTTTTACAACACTTTGATATGAAATCATCCATATTTGAGAACTCAACGTTGCTTCACAGCATTATATAACCATTATGATGGAAACCTTGAACTGTTGAGGAAACAGTTACAGTGAAATATCTATGCACATTTGTCTATGCTGAAAGATATTCTATTTGACTATGGTACTGGTATCATAACAGAATTTGGTTTCATGAACATGGGAGTGTCTTAAAGGATATGAATTACAAGAAGGGCTCACAATAATAAACGGGAGAGAGAAAAATGATATTAACAACAAGATCTAATCTGGGTCCAATCTCTAACTGCAATAACATTGACCAAAATTTAATTGTACTCCTTTCCTCATCCCTGAATGTGGCATGTGAATGATAAGTGGCTTGCTTCCTTTCCATATTCTGGTGAAGCTTTCATTTAAAAAAAAAAGTAATTTTCAAGCAAGATCGTCTCCATAGACAACCTTTATCTGAGAACACACTCACTGATAACGGTCGTCTATGAGAACTACCTTTTTCGCGCGTAGCCTACATGCGAGTAGGCTACCATGTTTAAACTCGACCTTACTCTAGGTCTGGGATTATGTTAAACTTGACTCACCACCAGGATTCTCCTCTGCGAAGGCGAGAAGAGTTTCTGCGAGTTTGTCAAACGTTCCATCTGTCTGAGCTTCTGGATTATCCAACGAGGCTCCACACTTTCGAATTAAATCTTCGAGATCCTTCGTGCTCATTGGCAAAGATGCCGTAAAGATTATCCGAGCGACATGTGATAGGCCTAAAGGCCTACGTTCACCCTTCGAACAATCGCGGCAATCGGATTTGGACTCGCCGCCTCACCACGCTAAAATCTCCGGTTGCAGGTGATTCGCCTGGAGCTGGAACGCATGCCCAACCTGCGCAAGCCGCTGCGCCAGACAGGGCTTCCAAGCTCGATCCTGAAGAACCCAGATTTTTCCTCGTCCTAGCCCCCGTAAAAGTTTCAAGAGCAAAATTTTTTTATAAGATGGAAAATTCACTATTATTACAGTTTGTAAGGTTTATAGTAGTTGCTCACTGAGCATTACTACCTTGATGACCACCACGTTGCAGAGTTCTTGGACGATATTGAAGCAAATCGAATAGGCCAGTCGGTCTCTTTCAGGCTGTTCTGCTCCGAGTAAGGGGTGAGCCTTTTTGGTCAGGTAGAATTTCTAAGCAAGTTTTCCGGTCTCTGGTCGTCTGGGACCTGACGTGAAACCTCAAAATGACAGACTTTTTGCAGTGGGAAATAATCAAGAATCACCATGCCTACCTTGTCAAGCGCCCGAACGTCAGGCCATTGAGCAAGGTATGTGAATTGAGAAGACTAGAGTAAATCTAAGAGCTTACGTTAGGTTATACAGTGTTTTTCACTTGAGTTTGACACTTTTTCACTTGACTTCGACACCCATGCATGAGGAACATCCCATGCACGTGTGTCTGAGTCAAGTGAAAAATTGTCTAACTCAAGTGAAAAACACTGTACATTATGAGGGGAACGTTGGCTGAGCATAGGCCTAACTTAGCCGTGTCCTTTGATGGAAATATATCGCAATAGAACTTGAGTGTTTCATTTTAGGGAGGATAACAAGAAAACTATATTCCTACAAGCCTCCCATCATTCCAGTCGTAGCATTCTGCCATATCAAGTGTGAATTGTAATCTTCCTGAAGCAGTTTTTACTTGACTAGGGTGAGGGCAAGTGGACATTTCATGCCTCTCCCATATCCATCTATTTGTTGCAAGGAGATCATTACCATGTGATTTCTATGCAAGAATAGCTCGATCTGGTGAAAACATTTGTCATCCAGCCCTTATACACAGCAGTAATGTGAATCATGTATAGTTTTATATGATTTTTTCCATGGGGCACTTGTTTGTGAAGAAGAAAGAAAAGCCATCCCGATTGTGTGGCAGGAAAGGGGGATAGTGTACAACTTTACACCCTAGAGAATGCTCATTTTTTCGTTGGAACAGTAATCACCATTGCTTATACTCCCACTGTACAGCATAATCACTTTGGGGCTTGATACTCTGAATAATGTTTCATCAGCTCTTTTGGGTTTTCACGAAACCCAAACCAATCCTAACTAACCTCAGAGAAGAAACGAGAAATGGAAAGGTGTAAAGTTGTACACTGTAACCCAGAAGTATAACTTGACATGGGACTTATATCATGACAAAGGAAAATCAGTGATCTGAAACTTTTTATACTTATTGTATACTGAAAATATTCCTTAGGCACAAACATGATGATCGTCTCCCTTTTAGGAACTCTTCAATGTCCGAAACATCCATGGAATGAAGGCGAATGGCTTGATTCATCGCAGAGCTATAAGCATTCAGCCAGCTAATGACAACAAGGGAGTTATTGTCACAAAGAAGAACCCGAAGAGATTGGTAAGTGACTTTCGATCTTACATCACCATGTTGCCAATGATTAGAAGTCCAGGCCCTAAAATGTAAACTTGTCTGTGCGATCAAAACATGAAATGTCACTTCACTCATTTATTCATTTATTTTCTTCTGTTATGACACAGAGGCAGCCAGCTTCACAAAACTACAGCGTTGTCATGAAGGCTGGTCCAAGGCGTCTTCTCTGGAAACTGGCACGGATGTTCAAGTATCAGAACTATCGAAGGGACTTGAAAAAGGTGTGTGGACATCTTGTTATGATTTATATCATTCAGCTGATTCATATGAATGGGATTAACTACTCTTAGGACTACAGGAGTAGCATATCATCCTGTCAGCTAGACTCTTGCATCAGAGTAAAGTTTTCTGGAATATAATAAGGTTGTGGCTGTCATACAGAGTTGTCCCAACGAAAATTGCCAAGAATAAGTGAAGAATCCAAAGCTTTCTCCATGTCCACTGGTCACTTGACATCTCTGACTGCATGATCATGTGGGACTTGCCCTCCTTTCTTCCTCATAGCCACTTATGACCTCATAGCCAAGGGTTAATGATTCATTTCATTAAGTGTAAGACATCTTATATGATACTACACATAGGATGTTTAGTAAGATACTGCTTTTGTTTAATATTTAATTGTTAGACTTGAGGCTGACAGCCTCTAATTCTTTGACAATTAATGTTGTTTTTTTTTTTCCTAGGCAACCCTGAGAAGGGCCAGTGCTATCCTGAAAAGCCAGAGGACGAAGATTGCAAAAAAGAGAACTGTGAAGCGAGGCATGTCCAGCAAAAAGAAACTGAAGATGTAAGATAGAGAATAAAAGCTATTGGCTTGTGTCGAATGAGGTGTTATTGTATTGAGATTATATCATTGACATGAGAATTCAGAGGCAATGGATATGAGGCTTGTTCGGGTAGCAGGTACCCATTTTTTTTTTCTAAATGTATGTGACATAGGAAGCACCATTATGCTATACCTTCCTTCATGTAAATACTAGGGCTGTCACGATAGATCGATGCATCGATACCACTATCGATAGTTGGAGATATAGATAGTTTTTCGACCATCGCGATGCATCGATGCATTTGATGCATTTTAACGGGGAAATGTCCCATTGAATTGAGGCGAGTACTGTACAATACAGTCCGTCCAGGCGAGGAAAGGAAGAAGCGGCGTGACACGCATGGGCGAGCAATTTCTTATCACAATCAAATTCTGGAAATGTTGGGACTGACTATGTGAAAGACGGGAAGGGAAAAAAAGTTGGATCGGAGACAGGAAGTGGGAAAAGAGGGGGGAGCCCAATAAGATTTTTTTTTGTCATCAGTTTCAGTCTCCCGGCTCGATCTCATCAGGTGCATGCTGCGGAAGTGGACTGTTCTTATACTGCCTTGATTTCGAAACGTACATTGCATAACCCCCTCTGTATATTCCTGGGGGATACTCCTGTATATTCCATTGTATATTCCACCAGGCCTCAATGAGGTGCCTTAGCAGAAGCTCGAGCATTGTCCCATGCATTTTTTTTGTTTGATCTTGCAAAATGCCCTGTTCACTGAGTCAGTTAACTGTGCTCTCCTTACTACATGTACTGATTATTGAGTAAAAATTTTGGCATTGCATCGTGGCATCTACAGCTGCTGATAGAGTTATGTGTCTCTATCTACCCCAATACACGAGGTGGCAGATCAAAGGGGGGGGGGGGGGGGAATGACTGTCCCCCCCCCTATGGCCAGATTTGCATTCTATTTTTTTAGTTTAAAAGGCACCTACATTAATCTTTATTGGGGCCAGTGAAGTATTAATATATATCCAAGTTTTTACCCCAGATGAAAAATGAAAATGGCCGTAGGATGTAGAGTGGTGGTAGATTGGGGGGGGGAGGGGGGTTGTTAGAATTAGGGAATCCCCCTATGAAAAATTTCTGTATCCACCATTGTATGCATGTGACCCCACCCATGCTATCCATTCAGTGACACTAACAGGCATATTGGGGGCATATTTGGGGAGAGAGGGGTAGGTTGAGTCTGGGTTGACCGTTGACCCCCCTCCTCCTGAAGTAAACCTCCCAATATGCCTGTCAGGTCATCAGGCAGTGTTGTCATTACAGTATAATGTAAGACACCACCCCACATGGTAGGTCACACCTCATACCCAAAGAGCTGTGGTAGGTCACAGGCCATGCGGTAGGTCACACCTCATACAATTACCATCAAGCTCACTACCAAGTCACTCACCTACCTACATTCTTACATCTGCATCCCATTGCCTCCAAGTCTTTATAGTGGTTTAGCACTATGTAGTCAAAGTGGAACCTTCCAGACCTATATGCAGAAGCAAAAAGGATAGAAGTTTCATTGAAACATATTGTTTTTGCCCAAGCAATTTCTGATGGCAAGGAGAGGCCAGGATGGGAAACAGAGTTCAGTGCATTACACATAACTAAAAGGGCACCCCCAACATCTATGCCATGCTCTTTACAGCAGATATATTTCACCCAAATTAATATTTTTGTTTTAACTCCAATACCTCATAGTTGATTTTAGCCTCACAGGGCTGGGATAATGTCAGGGTGTAGATTAGGAATTGGTTATTGACCAATCAATTAAAAATATGTCAATTGACTGGTCAATATTGTCAACTAGGGTCAATTATCGTCAATAAGGCCAACTTTTATTTTGTGTTTTCCTGCACAGTTTGTGCTCCATTGTATGTCATGATTCACAAGTGATAAACTAGGCATGGGAAGTTGATAGGTCAACATAGTCATTTATGACCATTTACAGACAATAATGGTCAAGAAGCCCAAAAAGATGTTAGGCCTTATGACTGTATATGATCATAAATGACCATGTTGACTTGTCAACATCTCATCACTAAAATAGATGTAACCATACAGATTGCATGAGTTGGAACATTAAACAGTTATCAGTCATGTTTCAGAGATTAATTCTGTGACAAGTTAGCTCCATAAGTACTCTGAATAAGAAGGAATGCAACACATACGTAGTGTCCAGAACTGGAGTTTCTTGGTTTCTGTTATGCTTATTCCTGTTCCTGTCAGAAAGTTCCTCTGCCTTGCTCAAGGAAGTTCTTCAGAGCTACATTAAATTTTTTTTAGGCACAGACCTAGGCATAATCCAAATAAGTTTACTTGCCTCTTAATCACAGACTCTGAGAACAATTTGATGCTCTAATGCCAACTGTTAGCCAAGATCATCATAAACCTTGCATTAAACTAGTTATAAAGGTGTACCTTAGATCTTGAACCTTAACTTTCAAAGTCATTAAGGCTGTAAGACCTTGAACAGCAGGCTATGCCTATACACACACTCTACCCCACTCAGGTGAGAGGTCATGGTAGCTTAAGCATTAGCTATAATATTTTCAATGGATGCCACATTCCAGATGTTTGGCAGGCTGCATGAATATAACTTTAAAATGGAACTCATGCTTTGGTTTTAGCACTGAAGGATAAATGATAGCAGCTATGAGCTCTATAAAAATGTCTTAATTCATTCAATAATAAAAAAGAGTAGTCAATAACAGCCAATTAAAGTATGGTCAATTGACTGCCCCATCCCCCAAGTAGATTCATGCTCTCAATGAGTTATGAATGTTCCTCTTTGTGCTGATGATGACTTTCTTCAGGAATCAAGAAGACATTAATAAATGGCATTTTCTAGTTGAGTTTATCCTGGGGATATGTGGCTCTGGCCTTTGACTAAACAAAGGCTTAATTATTGAGTAAGGTTGGTTGGCTTTTGATAAGAACTGACCAAAGCATGGTCTCTATGCTTCAGTGTTGGGGTCAGTGGATCTTGGTTGGGATTTTCCAGGTTTTGACTTGGGATGGAGAATGAATTTTCCAAACCTTGGCTGTGATTGTCAGGAAAGGAGTCTGAGAAGCTAGGAGTATTGCAGGACATATCCATGTAAAACTCTGATGGCCCTCAAGTCTTTGGTATTGAAGTTTACCTTAGCCTATTCATTGGATGGAAGTCCAGGCTTCACCGGTATTACACTGGATTGCTGTCTACCTTTTTACAGCTCAGATTTAGAGTTGGCATTAAAACTTAGGCAGCAATGGTGCCTGATTAGGCTTTATGTAGCTAACCACAAGCAGAAGTGAAGCACAGGTGGTAAGATGTGCAAAGTTCTGCTTAGAGCCAGGTTTGTTGTAAATGGCATGGTTAACTCAGTGTCTGTGTAGGCTCTTATTCAGGGCAAGAATGGTATAGGTAGGAGGACCACTTGGATTGATGGCACTTTTCAGGACTCATACTCAAGCCTAATTGGAGAAAGCTTACTAACCCCTAACTATGACATAATGCAGCCTGTCTCTTATGCTTTCCCTTCTCTATCAGCATCTGGAAGCTGAGAGCATTCAGTCTGGTGGGAGCAAGGAAGCACAGGAGAGAGGCAAGGATAATGCCACAATTCATATGCACCTATGTCTATGTGATATGCAGCAGAAGTTCTTGAGCAGAGACAAGGGAGGCTGGCCTCCTCTCTCTCCACTGATGAAGCATATCAAAAGCTACCACTGGTTTATTCAATCATCCAGTGGAGATTCTTTTAACTACTAAGTATGAAACATGAAAAATAAAGATCTTTTACATTTAAATATAGCCTTTGTCATAGTAACATGGAATAGGAAAAACACAATAGGAAAAAGCAAGCATCCATGAAATCTGCATAGTGCATCACCTGCAATAAAGGAACAGTGACAGTGCCAGGAAAAGCGAATCTTATAATAGCACTGTAACTTTTTCCCCCAAGGAGTTTTCAATCACTTCAAACTCTTTTTCAACATTTTTCCACCTTTATTAGGATATGCACTTCATTTTGAGTATCTCTTCCCCTTCAAAAGTCATCCACCCTATTCACAGGACTTGGACCCACAGCTCAATTCCAAGTCAAGGGATGAAGGCTTGCTGATAGGGATGCAATCATGAGTCCCATGCTACACAAGTGAGCTGCAGACATACATGCAACGACCCTACACACACTCACTGAAGTGCATAGACCCACAAGGGGACCATGTCACCTTGGAGTGGAAAGTATTTTTGTACTGGCAAAAAAAAAAAAAAAAAACTTAAAAAAAAATATTTCCTTGTATTTCCCTCATTCAGTACTTTCCTAGCAAGAGTTCAGAGGGTACTGTTTGCTTAACTATGTTTTAGTTCATGCTTAGTCATAACTCCAGTTTCATTCAACCTCCTACCTTGCAATGGCCCGTATTTAAATATCCTTCTACTGATCATGGGGTTTGGGGAGGCTATGTGACACTAGAAAAGGGCAGTTTATTATTATTAACCTGGACGTAAACTGAACTGAAACACTTTCCATGGTCAGTTTAGGTAAAGGTTGTTTCCAGTTTCAATTCCGAGGTAATAAACTGATACTGAAACTTATGTGACATGAAATCACTGCTTGTCCTTTTTCATGAAGCTGGCAGCAGAGAATTCCTCCCTCTTCACCAATCCCCTAATTGCCATTAACACACCCCCACTGCTCATAACATTGCCAGGTTCATTGGATAAGATCCTGCCTTTAAAAAATTGTATGTAGGAAACCCAGTGAAACAATATAAGGTAGAGGCACCAACTTGTGGAAAGGCACCTATTTGTGGACAGTTTTACATTTTTTGCCATTTCACAAAATTCACGCTGAAAATTTATTTCCTCAAATGCTCCATATTTTGCACAAGCCTGTCAAGCAGTAAACTATGCATGCCCATCAGCATGAGTGAACTTGGACATTTTCGTTTAGTTTTAGACTTAGCACCCCTGAATTCCTTAACTTTTCCAATGATATTTATTAACAGGACATCATTGA